AACATTAGCATCCTCTATGTTGTTACCCACTGTGCAACATCTTTTGTGGAGTTGTGGAATATCACATGAATAGTGGCAACACATTATCACTGGATGTGCTTTCAAATATAAATATTCTTCTTAGGTCCAACAAATTCACGTGGATTATCGGTCTTTCACTTATCCTAATCACCCAATAAGTATTAAATTCTCACATTTCTATTCACATTCATTCAAATGCATCATTTATTTAATTATTTAAATTAAATGTGTCATTTAAAAGTTATGATTTTCTCATTAATTGTTCACACCATCCCTTCCACTTTGATCACATGTACTTTCAACTTTGCATATTTTCACTAAAAAAATTGAGTTAATTGGAATTTTTGATGTTTCACTTCTGACTATTGAGGAAGGTATTTTAGAAGTGAAAATTACGACTGGTGATACACATTTGGGAGGTGAGGATTTTGATAACAGAGTGGTGAATTAATTTTTGTTAGGAGTTTAAGAGGAAGAATAAGAAGGCTATCAGTGGAATCCTAGGGCTCTGAGGAGATTGAGAACTGCTTGTGAGAGGGCTAAGATGACACTTTCCTATACGAATCAAATAACTATTGAAATCGATTCATTGTTTGAGGGTATTGAATTTACACTACCATTATTTGTGCTCTATTTGAAGAGATGATCATGGATCTGTTTAAGAAGTGTAATGGATCCGGTTGAGAAGTGCTTGAGGGATGCTAAGATGGACAAGAACAATGTCCATGATGTTGTTTCTTGTTGGTGGTCTACGAGGATTCCTAAAGTTCAACAACTTTTGCAAGATTTCTTCAATAGAAAGGAGCTTTGAAAGAGCATTAACATTAAGGAGGTTGTGGCTTATGGTGTTGTTGTTCAAGCTGCTATTTTAAGTGGCGAAAGGAATGAGAAAGTGAAAGATCCGTTGTTGCTTATGTTACCCCTCTCTCGCTTGGTTTGGAAACTACATGAGGGGGTTATGATTGTGTTTGATTATGAGGAACACAACAATTCTGACCAAGAAAAAGCAAGTATTTTCTACCTACTCTAATAATCAACCTGGTGTGTTCATTCAGGTTTATGAAAGAGAAAGAACAAGGACTCACGATAACAATTTGTTGGGCAAGTTTGAGTTATATGGTATTCCACCTGCTCCAAGAGGTGTTCCTCAGATCATTGTCTGTTTCGACATTGATGCCAATGGTATTTTGAATGTCTCTGCAGAAGACAAAACTACATGGAAGAAGACCAAGATAACAATCACTAATGACAAGGGCATGTTTTTAAAGGAAGAGATTGAGAAGATGGTGCAAGAAGCTGAGAAGTATAAATCTGAAGATGGGGAGCGACAGAGAAGAAGGTGGAAACCAAGAATGCACTTGATAATTATGCCTATAACTGAGGAAAACACTTAAAGATGAAGTTGTTTTTGATCCCCCGACCAATTTCTAATTCTATCTAGACGGGAAGTTTGTAGGTTTTCACAAAAGCTTTGATAAAATTAGTGGATTGATAGGGCCATTTGTCCATATTAGCTTGTCCTAAAGTTCTTGAGGAGGGCAAGACATATCCCTGACGTGTGCTTTATGCAAACTTGCTTCAAAGATCAGATGTGTGGCGAGAGAGTTTCAATAAATTTGGAAAATCAGAACATTGACCTTTATTTCCTTTCATGATAATTAAAGCTTAAGATATATTATGATCGACTAGTTGATTTTGAATCATTTTTTTACTCATGCATTTTGCCATGAATGCTACCATGGAATTAGATCTCGTACAATAACACTTCCACCAGTGTCTCAAAATAAATTTTTCGTTGTGATTGTTCAGTTTAAGCAATGAGATCCAGGAGTAATTTTAGAACCTTGAGGGACAAGGGTTCAAGTGAATCCGGCGGCAATTGATAGAGAATAGAATTATGAATTAAATTAAGTTATAATATTAATTTAGTAAGTCATTTATATTATTAGCTATAGTATTATTATTGATCTCTTAATAGTATTTGGGCTTGTAAGTTTAATTATCCATTATGGAGTACTATATATGTTGTCTCTTTGAGACATTGAAAGATATCAAACAAATGAAAAAGTATTTAATTTTCTTAATTTGCTTTTATCTTCATTCTCTAGTATAGAAATTTACCATTTTTAGTTTATTTTAAATTTTATTAGAATTCCTATTTAGCTTCCTATCATAACCCCCTAACTCTTTTCATCAACGTTTGGTTCATGCTACCAAAAAAAATGTTCATATCAACCATGGTTTGAAGGAGTGTTGGCAAAATGATATAATATATGTTATGTTACAAAATATATACTTTTCTGTCTAATAAAAAGTGTCTCATTTATATTTTTTCTCTGTATCAAAATAATTGTTTTTTTATAAAATCAATACAATATTTATTATCATTTTCTCACTACTATACTCATAATTATTAAGTTCCACTTTATTCAAATACTCTTTTAACTATAATGAATAAAGATATTCTAGTAAATATTATTAATTTTATTATTAACTAACACATCTAATATTAAAAAAAAATCAAAATGGATTAATAATAAAGACGATCTTCTAGAACAAGATGAACTAGAGATTATAAGAGTTTACAACAAAACTAAGGACCACAAAACTATCACATCTAATATTTTTTATTTAAAATCGCACATTGCTCAAATAACACAATTTTTTATAAGTTTGAGTAATTAATCGTTTAATACTATTATTGATTAATGCAGATTAAATAATTTTTTGTATTACATTTGAAAAAAAGTATACAAGTCTAAATCGTATTAGAGAAAATTCATTTTTTCTTGGAAGTACATTTAAAAATTTGTGTTTGTTTTAAAATGAAATTGTAAATGTTAACTCAAATACGTACTAAAATTTAAAGAACAATCATAATGGTTTTATTGTGTGTTGGTCCTTAAAATTTTCAAAGCTGTTCAATAACATCATGAATGTAAGTATGGGGAAAACTCTGCGTTAGCTTCTCCCGCGAATGCGAATCTCAAATAAACACCTGCATCAAGTCGATCATCTACGCGTACGTCTTCGTAGCTCGACATGAATGCGCGATCACGAAAAATAGACGAGGAAATCGATGATCTGGCCGACCACATCATCCCCGGTCGAAACACTATTATTTTGATTAATTTGTGACCTTGTGTTGGCGGTGACCCCGACGAAAGTTAACAGTTCCTTTGTTGGGCAACCTCTCCCCAATAGTAAACTGGTCTTAAGTCACCACTCTTTCGCCTAAGAGCAATAACTTGGGAGCTATTATTCTGGACTGGGTTTGCGCTTGTCCCATCGTCGAGTAGACCCAATTCAGTGCCTTCATCACGGCCCAATAACATATGGCCCAAGTTTACAACCGTTGGGGAGTTCCCCACGTGTCCACCAAGGAGACGGGGCCAACGATTATCTGGAGCTACCATCATCCCGTCCACAAAGAATAACAGGTCCATAATTCCCCTATTATCTCAGAACAGTTGACCAGGTAGGAGGACACGTGTTGGTTTCCATTACTCACGTAACCCTGACAGTCTTAGTTATTGGGCTTAACTATCCGGTCTAGTGCGTAGATCTTCACCTAACGCTGGGGTTATAAATACCCTCTCATATGAGATGGTCATGGACATTGATTACTACTCACTTAAACTCTCTGCTTGCATTATTGTTCAGATACTTACTTTAGCAACGAAGCATCTTGCAGGTACCCCCATTTCACTTTCAACCACCGTTCAGTCCAACCTTGTGGACCATCGATAATCCATTCTGATCAAGTACGATCATGCTCTAAGTTTGATCAACATATCAATATTGTATTTCTTGCTTTTACCCCATAAAAAGAATTCTCATATAATTCTTGAAGCCATCATCCCATATGATTCCTCACAACTCCTAGCTCTTTTCATCAATGTTTGGTTCAGGCTACTAAAAAAATGTTCTTACCAACCCTGATTTGAAGAAGTGATGGCAAAATATATATTCCTTTCATCTCATAAAAAATATCTCATTTATATTTTTTTCGAATCTCAAAATAATTATTCCTTTATAATATCAATTCAATATTTATTATTATTTTTTCATTATTATACCCTAAAATTCATTTTTCGTTGGAAGTACATTTAAAAAATCGTGTTTATTTTAAAATAAAATTGTAAATGTTAATTCAAATACATACTAAAATTTAAAGAAAAACTGGAATTGTTTTATTGTATGTTGGTGCTTAAAATTTTCAAAGCTGTTCAATAACATTGGTCTAAAAACTTGGTTTTCCTAGAACCAAAAAAAACTTAGTTTTCAAAATTTTGTAAAGTATAAATAAATTTGAAATTATCGTCTCACATATAAAAAATAATAATTTAAAACTGCTTTAAACATTTTTTTACAAGTATTATTCGTTTATGTAAACTAATAATAAAATAATAAAATCACCTCACAAAAAAAATTTAACCATTTTTTTATTTTATAAAATTTTCCCCTTAACATTAATTAATCTAAAGTATTCTATATAACTTGAAACAAAATCTATAATTAATAATTTTATTTAATTAAACTCAATGTACTACATCTATATCAAATTATAAGTTTATTAATATTTTTTATTATAGTTTATCATTTGTTATTCTTTTTTCTCTCTCTTAATTTTATACTACTTATAAAAATAAGTTTATAAATTCTCTCATAATTCTCAACAACACATTCTTCCACATTGCTCTATTCCTCCATTGAAGCCATGTTTTCCAAAACCAAAATCAACACTTTCTTCCACTCCTACCTCTACAACAATCGATCAATATCCAGTCTCAAAGTAGTATGGCGCAAAGACCCATCACTAGACCAAGCCATAGAACACGATAAACGCTACAAACAATGCGCACGCGTCGTCAAACAAGTCCTCAACGAACCAGGCCAAGTAATCCCACTCCGATACCTCGAAAAACGTCGCCAAAGGATGCGACTCAAGGTAAAAATCGATACTTTCTTGAATCAAAACCCTTTTTTATTCCATGTCTACTACGATCGCATTAAACCCAAAACCGAACCCGTGAAATTCATTCGGCTCAGCGATCGTCTTCTTCGGTTTATCGAGGAAGAAAAACAGATTTATAAAGAGAATGAACCGTTAATTGTTGCTAAGTTGTGTAAATTGTTGATGATGTCCAAGAATAAGGTTGTTAGTGCTGATAAATTGCTTCATGTGAAGAGGGAATTTGGTTTCCCTAATGATTTTTTGGTTGATTTGGTTCCGAGGTATCCGGAGTATTTTAGGTTAATTGGTTTACCTGGGGAGGGAAAATCGTTTCTTGAATTGGTTGATTGGAATCCCGAGTTTGCCAAATCGGTAATTGAGAAAAGGGCTCAAGAGGAAAGTAGGGTTACTGGGATTAGGGTTAGGCCTAATTTTAATGTGAAGCTTCCTCCGGGGTTTGTGTTGAAGAAGGAGATGAGGGAGTGGATTAGGGATTGGATGGAGCTTGATTATGTTTCGCCGTATGAGGATGTTTCGAATTTGGAGCAAGCTTCTAGAGAGATGGAGAAGAGGTCTGTTGGGGTTTTTCATGAATTGCTTTCTCTTTCGTTGTATAAGAGGATTCCGGTTCCGATTCTTGGAAAGTTTTGTGATGAGTATAGGTTTTCGAATGCGTTTTCTAGTGCTTTTACGAGGCATTCAGGTATATTCTATATGTCGTTGAAAGGTGGGATTGAGACTGCAATGTTGAGAGAAGCATATGAAGGGGATAAGTTGATTGACATTGATCCATTGCTTCAGATAAAAGATAGATTTGCTGAGGTGTTGGAGGAGGGTTGGCGGGAAAGAGTGGAACAGTTGAGGTTGAAACAAGAGAAAGTTAAGCAAGATATGGAACTTGTGGCCACAAGAGTTTCCGAATAATATAAAACCGGCGCGTGGTTATATGAAGAGCTTTCAATTTGGAAGGAGGTTATGAATGGATTTAAATTTGTGTGTGTCTTACTTAATTGTATTTTGGAATTCAGGAATTCAACGACATGGTGCTCTAAAATCCAAATAACCCTTTTAATATTAGACCAATCCTGCATGAAGTTCAAATGTGAAAAATGTGGATTTCCTCTGAAAATTTGAGCTGAAAGAAACATATATACATCTGCAAATGTTGGAAGAAATGAGCTTCATTGTTGGCTGATGACCAAGTTCTGCATCCAAATCATCTTCGAGCAGCAGTAAAGTATTTACTTTTAGAAATGCTGGAAACAGGCCGAACAAAGGTGTAAAATAAATACCTTAAATTTGCCTTATCACCCATGAATGTTAATATAAGAAAACCGTTGTAATTTTCCATGGCTCCATGAATGTTTAATTTAAGAAAACTGTTGCATCCATCTGCTATCTTTCTTCCGTTTAAAGGCTCTTAATTTTTTCTTTTACAAATTTTGTTATAATGATCTGGCATGTATTATCAATTTTGTTTTACAATGGAATGAAGTTAGAAATCTCTTTTCCCTGTCCTTTTGGTCAATCTTTGTTGAGGTTATTTGAAGTTGAAGTACTTGGCACTTTGACAGACAAAGACACAAAGTGAAAGCTATCTAGAATCAACATAAGTTTTGTATCATCAAAACTTTGTTTATGTTACTTTGTGTGAATGAAGGCATGAACTTGATAGGATGTGAGCAGCAGAAAAAAATACATGTTTTTTTTAAGGCTCCTAAGTTTGTTTGTTTATTTTCATTGGCTATTTGTATTTCTTTCTCTCACTCTATATGGTCTAACATATGGATCTTTTACTAAAAATTCCTCCAGCTGAAAGTTGTCACACTTCTCAACACTGATAAAAAAGTTGTTCAAAACATTGTTCAGGAGTAATGTTGGTGGCTTGAAGTTGAACCCCTATTTAGAATAGTTTGTGTTTGTTTACCTACAAAGTCCACACCAAATGGATGGGATGAGAAATGAAACAAGTTGATAAATTTGCAAGTATTTAAGGAGCCAATGTGAACATTGTGTCACTTTATGTTCAGAAAGAGACACATCATGAAGAGAAACAATATTTTTAATTCAGTAACTCTGGCTCTCACATTTCTTACATTTGTGCCAAAAATAGAGAGCCATATCGGGCCACCGGTTATTCACCTGTCACCACCGTCTTATCACCCGCTCTGTGCACCTCATCTAGCACTAGTAAGTTATGCTTGTGTAGTGTTATCTTTCCCTCCAGGATCACATCCTTCTCCAATCCCGGCCCTACCCTCTCCTTCATCCCCAGACGACGACGAAGGACATCAGAGTCACCACGATGAGGGTCATCACAGTCACAACCACATGCGCGGACATAGACACAGACACAGGCACCACAGAACATCACAAGAAGACAATTGTTGCCGGTGGACTAGAGACATAGACAGCCGATGTGTGTGTCACTGACTCTCTTCTTTCCACCATCGCCATTCTCTTCGTCTCCGATATTTATGGTATGCGCTACTATTTTATTGCTTTTCCTGCATCCACAAACTCACATCACACTTGAACACTTTTTGCCTTAACCATATAACTTCAATTATCTTCACGTGCTTTATTTGTTTTGTAGGATATCATCAAGCCCCTATTATAAGGTATGTTGAAAATGATCTAAGTACAATTAATCTATTATTTACCTATGAATTACGGACACAATGCATGAAACATGAAATTGACATGTCAAAACCGATAGTAATTTAAGAAAATTAATAATTGAATGTGATCATATGTGTCAGTGTCATATTGGTGTCAGAAACAAAACAAACATGTGTGTTATACACTTATTTACTGTACTTGAAGCCAACACCGACAATAGGGATGTGGAAGTGTAGTATATAAAAGTTATAGTTCATACAAGAAAACCATATCATAGTTTGTAATAGTATCTTGGATCATAGCTAGGTTTTTTATTTTCAAAGATGTTGCATTAGTGATAATTTTATGTATTGGTCAATTATATGCATTTCTTTTGGTTTGCTCTATGTTAGCTCTCTCTCTCTGTGATGCTAAATGTAATTGTTCCCCTGGCCATTTTGTGAAGGAATCTTGCAGACAGGGTTGCAGCAGCTGGGTATTATGTGGCGGTTCCTGACTACTTCAATGGCTCTCCCTTTGATCCTGAGAATCTTGACAGAACATTACCTATTTGGATGAAAGAACATCGACCCGTTAGTACTTTTTTAATTATATATCCTTAATAGAACTTTGGTAACACATGATTTTTGGTGCTTACATATTAATTTTTTTAGGACAAAGGTTTAAAAGCTTCGCAACCGATAATTGAAGCCTTAAAGAGTGAAGGAGTTTCTACTATTGGAGCTGCTGGTTTTTGTTGGGGTGGTGAGTGTCTTTCAATTATAAAGCAGTCTTAGGCACTGTAACTTTGGTTCTATAAGTTTCAATCTTAGTCGCATAATTCGCAGTACCTCTAAGAACCGCGAATTGGTTTGCGCGTACCAGTTCACGAATACAAGTAACTTATATTATAAACTCACTTAATGTAGCATGTTTTCTTTTTTCTATCAGCTAAGACTGTGTGTGATCTTGGGAAATCCAACTTCAGTCAAGTTGTTGTGTTAGCACATCCATCATCTATCACAGTAGAGGACATTGATGGGAAATCCAACTTCAGTCAAGTTGTTGTGTTATGCAGAAGCATGGTATTTATCTAAAATCATGTTTTTTTTTTTTTTTTTTTAAATTTATTTTGGTTGAAAGATGCTTGATTAAAATTTTTAAGGGTTTTTGATTTTATAATGGTTGGTGATTTGCAGGATATATTGGGGAGTTTGAGTATGTTGATGATCACAGATCTGGAAAGATTGTTGTTGAGTTGAATGGTAGGTTGAACAAATGTGGGGTTATTAGTCCTCGTTTTGATGTTGGGGTCAGGGAGATTGAAGGTTGGACTGCCAGACTTCTCCCATCTAGACAGGTAATTCGTAACCCTAATTTTTGCCTCTTTTACACATTCTTATGTATGACTAGGCCTGCGTGATCTACTTCTACCATCATTATGTTTAACTAGCTATATCTAAATTTTATCTCATTTACATGAGTTTTTAGAGCTTGTTTAAGCATAATTGTGTTGTATATGGTACCATCATTATGTCTAGATAATAATTTAAATAAGGGTGGTATGCATAGTTTTTTTTTTTGGAAAAGAAGCATATCTTATTAACCAAAAACAGGTAAATACAAGCCGATCGCATGGATTCAGGCAAACACCAACAACTAAGCTATACTATGAGTACTCATACTAATATGAATACTTAATAACTTGTTCGAATTACATCTCCACAAGATATTGTCAATAATTCTATCAACTAAATTCTGTTCTATTCTCTTTTGAGCGAAAAGAACTTCATTTCTACGTTTCCAAATTTCATAGATGGTTTCGGCACACACAATTTTCAAAACTTGTCCACGCCACCCTTTTTTCCTTGATTCCTTGATCAACCAATCACTCTTTATTCCATTCCAACGGAATCCTATTATAACCCACCCAATGAAGCACTCCTTTCCAAATCTCATTGAAAACGAGGCATTCAAAGAAGATAAGATTCAAGTTTTCGACATGATCACACATACTACACTTAAGATCCAGCTGCATACCAAAACAAATGAGCCTATCCTTAGTAGGGAGCTTACCATTCAAGACCATCCAAAGTGTGAAGATCGCTCTCGGTCTTGCACAGTTGCTAGACAGCATTTTGTGCCAAGTAACCTTTTCAAAATCACCTCTCATGGCTTTATACATGTTACCCGTATTATAAATTTTTCCAGGCTCAACCTCTTTCCAATATTGGATATCTTTGAAACTATCCCTGCATTTGATGATTCTTTCATTATCCAAGAACAATTTTTATTCATTGTCCAACTCATAATATCTTCCTTTTTGAGATAGTAGGTATTAACCCATCTTACCCACAATTTATCCGCTTTCTCCTGAAGGTTCCAAAGGAGCTTCCCAATGGTGGCACGGTTCCAATCCTTAAGCGCGGTAATATTGAGACCACCTGCTCCTTTCGGCTGACAGATAGTATCCCAAGATATAGGAGCTTTCCTTGTAACTTCATTAGTGATACTCCAGAGATAACTTCTGCACAAGGTTTCAATGTGGTTGATAATTTTTTGAGGCATGGGAAAAATATGCATCCAATACGTTGTTACCGCGAACATAATGCTTTTAATCAGCTGGTAACGCCCCGCATAACTCAACAAGTGGGAAGTCCAATGCTTAATTTGAGCTGTAATTTTGTCAATCAACGGTTTACACTGCTGAACCGTGAGCTTTCGACACGACAACGGCACCCCCAAGTATTTAAATGGCAGCTTGCCAATAGAAAAACCAGTCCTGTCAACATCAGCTTCTGGATCACCTCTTTCACTCCCCCAAAATACAACTTGCATTTAGTTGGATGAGCAATAAGACCAGTAGCTTCAGAAAAGTAATAAAACTCCTGCATTAACAGCTGCACAGACATTTCATCACCCCTCGAGAACAAAATTAGATCATCAGCGAAGCTTATGTTAATAATCTGCAGCTTTTCACATCTTGGATGAAAGTTAAAGTTTGGATTATTCTTAACTTTTCGAAGGCATCTATGGAGATATTCCATAATCAACACAAGCAACAAAGGGGAAATAGGATCCCCCTGCCTAAGGCCACAACGCGCTTTCAAAGTCTCAGTAACACACCCATTAATGTAGTACCTATGAGAGACAGTTCTCACACAAATCATAGTCCATCGAATGAATTGGTCAGGAAAATTCATCTCGCGCATAATGATCTCCAAAGCCGACCATTCAACCGTATCATAGGCTTTTTGAAAATCCATTTGGATGACACACCGAGGGAAGATATGCTTCCTACTATAACCTCTCACAAGCTCCTGAGCAATCATTATGTTATCATGGATCACTCTACCCGGGATGAATGCAGATTGACTATCATCAGTCACAGTATTAATGATCTTGCTCAGTCTTAGTGTCAAGATTTTTGAAATTACCTTGCAGATGGTACTGCAACATGGTATGGGCCGCATATCCTTAATTCTTCTGGCATCCGAAGATTTAGGGATTAGCGTCACAAGGGCACAATTAGTTGCAGCAAATAACCTGTTATGCGTAAAAAAGTCCCGAACTGCATCAGTCACATCTTTCCCAGAAAACTCCCAAGTGCTTTTGAAAAATTTGGAAGTATAACCATCTATACTGGAAGCTTTTGTTTCACCAATATTGTGCAAGGCTTTCCTGATTTCCTGGACAGTAACAGGGGCAATGAGGGATTTTCTGTGCATATCCTGTAATTGAGGGCCTTTTCTAATAGCCTCAATGTCAACATGTTGCAGCTCTTTTCTCCTATTATCTATCAATTGCCTGTAGTAATTCAAAACCTCATTTTCAATATCCTGGAAGTTGGTTAACCTTCTGCCATTCGCATCCTCCACGCCATTGAGACACTTTTGGTTATTTTTGCCCCTAACAATAGTATGAAAGAAGGCATTGTTGCCATCTCCAAGTTGCAACCAATTAATTTTGGCTTTTTGCCGCAGCATCTTCTCTTCCTCTGCAGTAGCTTCCATCAGCTTTTCAGACCACATTTGCACATCTGCAGCATACTCCTTGTTAAACAGATCACCGGCCAGATTATTCTTGACTTTATCCAGCTTATCTCTACACTCAGTAATTCCTGTATTTATCCTCCTATTCAAGCTTCTCAAATAAGGTTGAAGTCTTTTCAACTTCCTCCAAAGCACATACATGGGTTTTCCATCAACTTTTTGCTTCCAACTATCTTCAACCACCTGTTTGAAATCCTTATGATCAACCACATTGTTCAGAAATTTGAACCTAGATTGCTGTCTAGTTGCAGTAGGAACATAACCAGGCAGGATAAGTCTAAGGGGGGAATGGTCCGATATATGACAGTTCAACACCTCAAGAGTATAGTTAGGATAAGTAAGGAACCACGCCATATTACCAATAGCTCTATCAATACGGGAATATATCAGATCATCCTTATGCTTGCTGGACCAAGTATAAAAATTACCTTTAGAATCCAGCTCAAACAGGTTTGCATTGCTCATCAGATTTTCCAAATCTTCAATTTCAGCCTGCTGAACCGGATTTCCTCCAATACGATCCATGGTATGAAGCACATTATCATGGATCCTGAATAGTATAAGCAATTCTTTCAATATCATTCCAAAGGCCTCTTCTATTAAGCAGTTGGTTGTGAGCATAGACAATGGTCAACCAGTACAATCTTTGCCCTGTTATACTAGTAACCTCACAGTGAATGAATTGGTCAGATTGCTCCTGCATCCTAAGCACCACTTCTGCAGGATTCCACATAATCCAAATCCTCCCATTGTGGTGATTCGCATAGTTGTCTAACCACATCCAATGAGAACCAAATTTTTGCAGCATTCTGCTGTTTAACTCTAGTCTCTAGAAAAGCAACACAAGGCACACAGAGGTTTTTGAGATGGGCTTTAATCTCAAGGTGCCTTGATTTTTTATTGAAGCCCCTAATATTCCAAACAATCAACATGGGTCACCTAGCAGATGGTCTCCCATCACTAGAGCATCAAACCCATTCTTACTAGTTCCAATATGACCCACAACATCCAAGGGATGATCTTCATCACAAATAGGCCCATTACCTCTGTGTCTTGAGCGTACAACTGTCTATTTCTCAACTTCAGTCTCACTTCTAGCTTGTTCCTGCCTCTGTACAAGTTCATTGTTAACCTGTTTAGGAATACTGTCAGGATCTTTGTTTTGGGGTTGTTGGGGTTTATGAGTCCAAATTTTCTTCACTTGGCCCAGTTTGTTTTTCTTCTCACAATCATGCCCTACTTTACTGCATATTTTACCGTACCTTGGTTTCCATTCGTACTCAACTTTTTGGACAAGTTTCTGGCCATCAGGGTCTCTAATCACAATGGTATCCTTCAACTCCACTGTGATATCAATTTCCACTAACACATGCGCATAAGTAACCCTCAATTTCTTAGCAGTACATTCGCCTGTCATCATGGGTTTGCTTAAAGCACTCGCTATTTTCCCTATACTCTGCTCTCCCCAAAAGATGAGAGGGAGTTGAGGGAAATTCACCCATATAGGCCCCACACGAATGACATCCTCCTTTGGAGGAAACTTGGGACTCCATTCATGTAGAGAAACATAGGCTTGCGAAAAATGGTGTAAGGACCTCTTTTCAGAACGGTATCCTTGTCTTCCTTGGATTGAAACCTAATAATAAAGTAACCTTCTTCATTATAGTACAATTCAGGCAACGCAGCAAAATTCCAAGTTTTCATCATGAAATTTTTCACTCCATTCATAGTCAACTCTCCTCCCAGCACGGACATGATGAGTGCGTTTTCCCAACATTTCCTCCCTAACTGGTTCTTCCTGTATTACTTCCTCAAATCTTTCCTCCGTGGTGGACTCAAGATTCTGCACATTGAGCTGTGGAGTTGGTTCCCCTTCGTGCAAATTTTATTTTGTACTCTTTGGTATCTGGAATGAAATATACCAATTTTTGCCAGTTCTGTGTTTTGGAGGATTAATTTAGGCTTATGTGTGGGTATAGTGCCCTCAGAAACACTTGTTGCTTGGGGGTACTAAAGTTGTTGATTTGTTTCAATTGTTGATTGGCTTTTAAAATGAACATATATAAGGGGGATGCTTGACATGTTCTTATGCTGTTTAGTTTTTTTTGATTTAGTGCTTAAATTGGTACAATTTGGTCTCTAGGAATGAACAATATCAATTTGGTCCTTAAAGTATAAGTTTTACTTTGGAACCAATTTTAGGCTTTATGTGTGGGTTAGTGGCACCTCTCAACATTTGTTGCTTGGTTACTAAGTTTGATGTTTTCTTTCTAGTGTCAAATTGTAGATGGTCTTTTCTATTGAACTCAGATGTATGATCTTTTATCTTGTGTATGTATCTTCTGTTATCCCTTACCTTTTGGTAATTACATAATATGCAGTTTGGTTACATTGTTTTGACCACTTCTGCCAGAATTATGGACCACGAAGAGGCCAGGAGAAATAATGTTGGTGGCAAGGTCCTTGGCTTCTTCTACCAAGTGTTTTTGTTACATCAACCGGATGTAATGGAGGATCCTAGTTCCCTAGTAATTGCAGGAGCTGTTTTTGTGATGTGATTTTATTTTATTTTGGGAATCCTAGTTGGTCAGTATAATTTATCCTATTTCTTGTATATATTTTTTGATTGTACCAGAATGTACTGGCATACTTGTTTTGATTGGTAAAAGACTTTTGAGCATTAGAGTTGTTTGAATTGGTATCGTTAGTTAGTTGATGATATGTTGTGTAGACTATCAACTAGTTTTGAAATTAGATTTAACAACTCAGAAAAATGTTAGTTGATGATGTTGTGTAGAGTATCAACTAGTTCGAAATTAGATTAAACAAGTCAGGAAAATGTTAGTTGATGATGTTGTGTAGAGTATCAACTAGTTCGAAATTAGATTAAACAAGTCAGAAAAATGTCATGTTTAAAATACCACCATTTGATTAGCCTTGATTCTAATTGTCTGAATATAAAAAATGCATTTGAAAGTTATCGAATATCTTTTAATGAGTCCTGCAAAACAAACATGTCTGGATGAATTGGAGGAATTAGTAGATGGATTACAAGTACAGCAACAAGATAAATTGCAAGGAAATTTCTTGAAACGTTTTACAAAGAACAAGTTGTGTTTCAGTTTAAGATTTGTTACTAGGAAAACACATTTCATCAAACAAGTTTAAGATCTGTGTCATGTCTGGATTTTGTTTCTTACTGTTCCAACTTCATTAATCTAACGCAGCCCCAGTTCAAAACCAGATCCTAACTATAACTAATTTACAAGTGTTTATTGATGTGATTGAAACCTCACGTGATACCTTGTCTGTTTGTCCATATGAAATTACCATAATTTTCTACAATAATTAAACAACCACAGCTCAAATATGCTGGGATACAACACTTGGGACTTTTGTATTACTGGCACGCTGTAACAGGCACATGGAGATCATGACTCAGCTCAGGCAGCTCATCATTCTGTTAGAAAAATTTCACTAAATCAGGAAGTAAGGAGAGGTAGTTAGGATACGAAAGCATAGCAAAAGATATGAGTAGTATATAAGGGAATAGAATGTTATGAGAAAAGGGGGGAATATTTTCATGATCCATCTTTGGATCTTTATTCCATATATCAGTAACTTTACTTCTGCAATTTGTTTGCTTAGCTCATGTTTATGAATTTGAGTGTAATGATCTCTATTGTTCCACTGCAGTAGAGTTTGTTTCTCGATCGTTTAGTTAATAAACTCATAATATTTCCTCCTTGAATTTAGTCCATAACACACGCGAGATTCTCCCCCAAGTAAATTACTAGTTTACAGAACATTGATCTAATTTTGAAAAACTCTGTTTACTAGAGCATCAAACCCATTCTTACTAGATTCTCCCTCAATGTGATTTTTGCAAAAATAAAAAAGTTGATTTTTTTGAAAAATAAAAAAGTCTTTTTTTTTTAAAATCAAGAAGTCGCTAATTCCGAAAATCATAAAGTCGATTTTTTCAAAAATTAAAATATCGATTTTTTTCGAAAATTAAAAAAGTATATTTTTTGAAAATCAAAAAGTCATTTTTTTCGGAAAAAAAAATTGTTTTTTTTGAAAATCAAAATGTCAATTTTTTTTTAAAAATAAAAAAGTCAATTTTTTCAAAAATCAAAAAACTCATTTTTTTCAAAAATCAAAAGTTCGATTTTTTCGAAAAATAAAAAAAATCGATTTCCCAAATTAAGAAAGTCAATCTTTTTCGAATTCAAAAAGGTCGATTTTCAGAAAATAAAAATCCTTATTTTTTCTAAAATCAAAAAGTCAATTTTTTTGAAAATCCAAAATTCGATTTTTTTTTTGAAAATACAAAAAATCAATTTTTTCGAAAATCTTAAAAATAAATTTAAATAGATTATTTATTTAAAAAAATCAAAATTAAATATAATGGTTTAGTTATTTTAACAAATGGTTCAATTTATAATAAATTGGTTTCTAATGGTTTGGTAAGTTCTCAGGAATCCTTGAAGTTAGCTCCTTGAGTTGAGGAGGAATTCTTACAAGGTTGACTTGGATAGTTTTCCTGCGAAGTGAATCCATAACCTACAAAACAGGAACAAAGATGAAATCTCCAAATCCTTGAAATGGTTAGTGGATGCATATGATACTTCATTATGTCCGTGATGTTATGCACAAGTATATATGTACAAACAAATCACACAAGTTTCTAGTTTAGGCTTGCATGGGGTTTCATAGGTAAGTACCCTCTTGAAGTTTAGTTGGCTCAACCTGTCATAGAAATAGTAACCGGGTTCTAAGAAGCTCAATATCACTGGATTGTTTTCTGTGTTCATTGTTTCAGTTTAACCACTTTACTGGCGATCGAAAAATTTCAAGAAAACAACCCTCAATGAGTGTAGTATCGAGTATCTACCAACTTCGGACTGCACCAAAGCCGGTCATCTCACTACATCCTAAAAGGCCAAGTTGGTCAAGTAAAGATTCTAAAAGTCTATTAGTGCTTCATGACATTACTCAGCAGCCCCGTATTCTCTTTGATTGACTCAAAGGCTATCGGTACCCACAAATATGTCGCACTAACATAGCTATTGCTTAGACCGTGTCGATATACCCCGCACAATTTCCACAACGTATTGCTATTTACCTATGAATGTTTCCCGAATCCGGGTAGAGGATTCAAACCCAAACAATAGAACCAAAGTGTAAAGCATACAAGTCAAACAAGATAATCATGTAAAGGTGATCTAAAACCCTAAGGTAACCCCACTTTTAGATTAGTCCTCAGCAGAGTCGCCAGTTCTGTGATACGGTGGGAGAACTGACTTGAGGTTTTGCGTTTGTGTTCGCAAATGTTGCGGTTTAGCAAGAGTCGCCACCGACTTTTATTTTATCCAAAAGGAAAGGTCAAAAAGCACAGGAAAGACATTTGAGATTATTTTTGAGTTCGGAGGGTAGATTATGAAAAGGGAAGGTGCTAGCACCCTTTTCATCCATGGTTTTCCATGGGCTCTTAGTTACTTGTTTTAGATCACTTGCTTTTGCTTTTCAATTATTTGAAATGGTGCTTTGTGTGGTTTTGAAAAGAGGCCTTTGTTTAGGCAATCTTTGTAATGATTCTCGTTCGTAAGAATGTATACAAAGATGTTTGTCTTTTGAAAAATGTTTCAATGTTTTGAAAGTTGTTTGGAAATTGTTTTTGAAATGTGCGTGTTTGTTTGAAAATAGCAAAGATTGTTTGCAAATTGATCAAGTAACTAGAAGCTTATCTACCTACTCAAAAGTCTTTCCTACACATTTTTATTCCTTTGATATTGTTATTCTACCATTGTTTTGGTGAATAACCCTATCTTTGGATGTTAAATGGGAGGGGTGTGGGTCATCGTATGACCATGATAGCAATGGTGCCAAGTATCGTAGCAAGTTTTAGGGACTAAGATCATTTGTTTTTAGGCAACCTTTTGATAGCGTCATCGAGGGACTATGATCTTTTATTTTGTTTTGTTTTGCTAAGATACCTAACATGCATACCATGGTCATTTTAAGGCAACAAAGTGGGTGAAACTCTAGAGGTGCTTGTGTGCAAAGTGTTGTCATTTTTCATGCATTTTTGTCTTGTGTTTAGGTCATGCTATTTGTTTGATTTTTGGTCTTTGCATACAAAGCCCTAGTTTACTATCATGGTATATGAAAGCAATAAAATGCGTAAAGTAAATCTAAACTATTACAACAATATTATGGGAAGGGGGGTACAAGTTTTGAATGGGGGATATTTACACAAAATAAAAACCCTAAAACTATTACAACCAAATTGAATTTATTGTACAAATAAATAAATAAACAAGTATTTAAATATGCAATTAAATATAAATATGCAAGAAAATATTTTTGTAATTGTTTTATGCATGAGAAAATAATATTATCTAAGTCCTAAAAAATAAGAAAAATAATGTTATTATTTTTAAAAAGGGAAACCCTAATTTTTGATTAAAAGAAAAATGTATGTTTTCTAATATTCTTGTCCATTTTTGTTTAAGAAAAATAATAATAATATCATGTATAAATATTACAAAAATAAATTATGTATGAAAAATAAATATTTAATGTATATAAAAAAAATTAAAAAAAAAAATTAAGTAATTTTATTATTTACAAATTTATTTAGGAAAAATAAAGTATATTGACCTAATAACTATTTTTATGCCCTAAAAATAATAAAATAAAATGCAAAAATTTAAGAAAATATTTTTATGATTTTATAATGTTCAGAAAAAAATAATAAAAGTCAAAAATATAAAAATAACAAGAAAATATGAAAAAAATAACAAAATATGAATCAGGGGGTGCAAAAGTAAATGGGGGGGGTGCAAAAAGTCAGAAAAGCCATCCCCAAGCGCGCCAAGCCCAGACACTTCGTCCCTGACCTCTGTCTCCTCCAAAACGCGCGTATCTGCCTTCAAATCCTGTTCTTGCTATTCTTTGCATAAAATCAAAAACTTATAACATAAAAAATGTAGCTCATGATCACACGATTCCAATTATATAAAGAACATGACCTAACTCTCAAAGATCAGAGAGAGTTTTAATGGCCCTAATTTCTGACCTAGTTTTTTCAGCATGTTCAACATCCAAATACTCTTAGCTCAATTAATATAAATGGAATTTACGCATATGTACAGCTTAAGCATGTTGAGTACTACATTTTTGCTTCACAAACCTAAGCTTAATGATGCTTAAATAGAGAGATAGAAACTTGACAAATACCTTGTTCAGTTGAGTTTGGATATGGCAATGTGGAGACTTTGAGTGAGGCCTGAAGGTCGTGTGAGCTTGCTTGAAGTTCCCTCAAGCTATCCCAATGCTAAGCTAGTCTTGTAGATGCCTTAATCTTCCTATAGAAGTCAACCTGCAAACTTGCAAAGTGAAAATGGTGAAGTGTGAAACTGAGCTCACAGTTACTGGACAGGGGCCTGGATAGTTCAGGTGTGTTGTAGGGAAGATGTTTGAAGCCTTGAAACAAAAAACGCACGAGTAAAATATGATTTGGCTAGTGATTTGCAGAGGTTGCCCTGTTTTG